GGGAGTGAATTAAATCTGTATATTACTTTTATGTATGTTTTATGTATCTTTGTTTTGGGACCACACCTGGCAATACTATGCACTCCTGGAGGCGCTTAGGGGTCGATATGGGATGCCGAGGTCAAGCCCGGCTTGGCTGCCTGCAAAGCAAGCTCTCTACCCACTATACTACCTCTCTAGCCCCCTGAATCTGCGTTTTACTTTTAGTGGTATGAGCGTGTTGACTGTATTAATTCTCCCAATCCATAAATATCCTCTGCCTTTCTGCTTCTCCATCCACATCTTCATCACCACTGCAGGTGGCGCTGGAGGTGTGTGTCTGGCTGAGGCTCAGCTCTTGGGCCTTTACTTGCTGAGTCACCAGCAGATTGAGGTCTGTCTCTAGGCTCTGTCTTCTCATCGCTTCTCTCCAGGTCTCTTTCTTTGGTATCGCCTTCAGCTTTAGATGGATTGTTTTCTGGCACCGTCATTTCAACACCTACAGAGTCTTCCTTGGTAGTTGTGGAAAGCTCAAGAACAGAAGTCGCTCCAGCACTGTGCTCCTGACGCGCAACATCCTCCGGCCCAGCTGTCTCAACACTAACGCTGTCATTCGCCTGGTCTTCACATTCGTTTTCAGATGGTTTTGTACTTGGCCCTGCCGGGAGGGAGAGGCACTGTGGTGCGGCATCAGGGGGAGACTTGCGCTCGGCAATAGGTTCAGTGTTTCTTGAGAAGTAGCGTTTTTAGTGTTGCCTCCTCTGGGCTTGAATTGCTGTATATTTTTGGAAGGAATACTGTAAAAGAGAGTGTTTGCCTGTAAGGAGGGTGGGAGAAGAGCATCATTGGGTGCTGACATCGTTGTATCTTGGATAGTATTTTCTCTTTTTGTTTGTTTGTTTTTTGTTCTTTTTTGTTTGGGTCACACCGTGCTCAGGACTTGTTCCTGACTCTGGGCCTGGTGTCATGTGGGATGCTGGGGATCGAACCCAGGTCAGCAGCTGCAAAGCAAGTGCCCTATCCTCAGGCCCCTCCCCCCTTTTTTTATGAGCACGTGATTTTATTTTTAATCAAAGAATTTTTTTGTAAATTGTGCTATCGAACATTTTGTTTAGACCATTTGTGTTTATTTTTTGTGTGTTTAATCTTATGTAAACATGTTTCTACAAATTATTGACTTACTAGTCCTTGTTAATCTATAAGCAATCTTAATTAAATTCAGCGTATTATGTGTCTTATAAATATTTTCCACAAATTTGTCATCTGTCTATTGTTATCATACTTTGTAAGTGATTATTTTGCCAGTGGAAACTTACTGAAAAAGGTTCATAACAGTGGATTTGAATATTGCCTTAGTTTAATAGGAAAGAAAATACAGCACCTCACAGTATTTGTTTCTTTTCTGGCTTTGGACTTACTGTGGATTCAGGGACTTGGGGGAGGGGTGAAGGAGGGGATTCCTGGCAGTGCTTGGAGCAGCATGTGGTGCCGGAGGCCCAATCTGGGGCTCCTTGGTGACACTCCAGCCCTTTGAACCCTTTCCCCAAGCGCCAGAGGGTAATGTTTTGCTTTAATCATTTGTGGTATCCTGAAAGGTATTCTGATCAAACACTGTTCAAAAGTAAAGTACTGTTCAAAAATAAAAAGTGTGAAATGTGAAAACTCTTGGCTTGGGGCCTAGGAGATCGCTTTCGGTGCTTGAGGCTTTGCATTGAAACCGGGTGACTCCCAGCACACAGCGCCTGAGCAGCATAACATCACCAGCCCAAGCGGTAAACTACCTGTCCTACGAGGTATAAGCAGGAATGGCCCTGGAGCCCATTCCTGCTCTCTAAAGAAAACACCGAAAAACCATTAACTTCAAAAGTTAACCACCATTACATTACAGAAGACTTTATGAGAATGAGGACAACTGATGTCCAGGGCTAGAATGTGCTGCCCAGCTGACACATTCCTACTTCTCTACAGTACTTTAAAGTCTTTTAAAAATCTTACTTTTTGGAGACTGGAGCAGTAGTACAGTGGTAGGGCACTTGCCTTCCATGTCTTACCTGGGTTCAGTTCCCGGTATCCCATGTGGTCCCCTGAGCATTGCCGGAAGTGATTCCTAAGTGCAGAGCCAGGAGTGACCTCCAAGCATCTTTGGGTTTGGCCTAAAAGCAATGAATAAAAATAAAAATATTATTTTCTTTTTAGTTTTGGGGGCACACCCTTTAGTGCTGTGCTCAAGGGTTACTCCTGGCTCAGTTCTCGGGGCATCATGGGACTATGTAGCACCAGAGATCAAACCCATGCCTCCTGCAGGGAAAGCGTGAATTAACTTACCGAGCTCTCTCTGTGACTTACTTTCTTTAGCACTTGATTCACTTTTTTGGGGGAGGGCGGGGTCACACCTAGCGATGCAGGGGTTCCTCCTGACTCTGCACTCAGGATTTACTCCTGGTGGTACTCAGGGGATCATATGGGATTCTGGGAATCAAACCTGGGTTGGCCCCGCGTGCAGGGCAGACACCCTACCCGCCGTGCTATTGCTCCAGCCACCAGCACTGGATCAGCTTTGATCTCTACGTATTAGACCTATAAACATGAGCTAATATAAATTACATCATGTTGAATACTTGAGAGCATAGGTCTTTATACTCATTTACATTCAATATTTGAGGAGCTAGAGAGATGAATTTTAAGGGCTGGAGCGCTTTCTTTGCCTTGGAAGCCCTGAACTTGATCCCCAGCACCTCATGAATCCTATGTGGTGTAACCCACAAACAAGAAAAGTTTAATTGGGGTTTCATTTATTTATTTTTGCTTTTTCGGTCACACCCCGTGTAGCACAGGGGCGACTCCTCACTCATGCACTCAGGAATTACTCCTGGCGATGCTCGGTGGACCATATGGGATGCTGGGAATCTGAGCCTGGGTAGGCTGCGTGCAAGGCAAACGCCCTCTCCGCTGTGCTGTCGCTCCAGCCCCAAAGAGTTGAATTGTTAGGTAGGCTAGGAAATTATCTGTTCTCGCTAGATATGTTCTGCTTGATTTAGCTGGTTTCTTAGGTGTATAATTTTTTCCCTTCCACTTTTTAAAACACCACATACTTTAAAGCTATCCAAATACTACAGGACATACTTTTTTTTTTTTTTTTTTTTTGCTTTTTGGGTCACACTGGGCAATGCACAGGGGTTATTCCTGACTCTGCACTCACGTATTACTCTTGGCGGTGCTCAGGGCTGGAGCGATAGCACAGCAGTAGGGCGTTTGCCTTGCACGCAGCCAACATGGTCGACCCAAGTTCAATTCCTCCGCCCCTCTCGGAGAGCCTGGCAAGCTACCCGTGATGTATTCGATATGCCAAACACAGTAACAACAAAGTCTCCAATGGAGACGTTACTGGGTCTGCTCGAGCTAATTGATGAACAACGGGAGGACAGTGACAGTGACAGGTGCTCAGGTGACCATATGAGATGCTGGGAATCGAACCCAGGTGGGCCGCATGCAAGGCCAACGTCCTACCCACTGTGCTATCACTCCAGCCCCTACAAGACATTCTTAATGTTCTTTTGTTAATTAAAATGATTATAGGTGTGGGAGAGATACAGGAAATGTGCTAGCCTCACATGTGACCATACTCCAGTCAAAGTCCCAACACCACGTATTGGTCCCCTAGCACTCCCTGCCAGGAATAGCTCCTGAGTATCTCTGAATGTGGCCCACAACCCCCATCCCCCTCAAAAAAAAACCAATTCAAGAGCACATGTTTTGTGTGTGTGACGCCCTGGGTCCAGTTACTGAAACCAAAAAAGGAAAGCTAATTATGAACTGAACATATAATTGTTGATTTCTTTTTAAAAATACAGGTTGGGGAATGCATTATTACTGTATATTTACCTCAGTACTCTTAACAGTTTTCATAATCTTAACAGGAAATAGAAATTTTTTCCTGTACATTTTGTGCTGCTTCTATACCCTCAGTTTCAAGACTTAGAAGCTAATTAGTGAACTTTTTTTGGTTGCAGAACTGTTTTGTGATCCTGCGATTGCCCTGCTGGTGCCCAGGCTTAATTGTACTTCTAAGTACATAAACTTGGCTCCGTTTTCTATTTAACTCGCTTCAGACAACTTCTGGCTACTGAGACATTGGGGTGCTTGCACATCCTTGTTCTTAGTTAAGAACTTGAATAGTTCAGTGAAAGGAGGCAGGAAATTTTAGTGAAAATAACATTCTGGTAGGAGTTAGGAACTTTGGGTTCTAGTCTCCAAAATGTTAGTCACTGCATAACACTTCAGAGGGCATATTTTAGCTTTCCCAAGCCCTCAATTTAAAATCTAGAAAATAATACTTGGTAAATTCCACAGTCTTTGAAAAATATATATATATATATATATATTTTTTTTTTTTTGGCGGGGGGGAAATCACACCTGGCGATGCACAGGAGTTACTCTTGGCTTTGCACTCTGGAATTACTCCTGGTGGTGCTCAGGGGAACATATGGGATGCTGGGAATCGGACCTGGGTTGGCCACGTGCAAGGCAAATGCCCTACCTGCTGTGCTATTGCTCCAGCTCCCTGAAATAATTTTTCTAGGAAACAAAGTTGCTAAGTTGTAGGAGGGAAGCAATGTGCACCCCATTAGTCAGGTACTTAGATCAAACGAACACTTGATGTTTTCAGAAAGGCCCAAGAAATTAGTGTTCTATGAATCTGTCAGTCTTGGAATAGAACTGATATATTCTGCCCTCAAGGACAGAGGATGACTGCTGGACTACCTCCACATATGAGCACTTTGTTGAAGCATCCATCCACAATCTGACAAAATAGAACTGGTACTGAACTGTTGCTGTGAGATCTGTGATTTCTTCCCACCTGACCTTTATGGAGTGAGATCAGAAGGAATGACTTGAGTTCCTACATTGAATGTTAGGATCTGAATAGGCAAAATCTATGAATTTGATGAGAGGTAGGGGTATAATGCATTTCACTATCAGTCAGGGTCATTATTGAATTTTATTTTTTGCTTTATTTTCAGTTGTCCAGTAAGAAAGAAAAGACTAACTGAAGCAGGGCTCTGTGCTGGTCCTAATGACTGGGTTCTTTGTGCACATCAGGATTTAGAGGGACATGGAGTAAATCTGTGCACTAGTGGCCTTTCTGCCCCTGGCATGATAGATGTTGCTTGTGAAGAAATGGATCAGACAACTGGAGAACCACAGAGTGAAGTTGCCCGGAGAAAGCTTCAAGAAATTGAAGACAGGTAAATGGGTAGCATATATAGTTGGCTTTGCTCTTTCTATATCATCTGCTTCTTAAGATCTAATTCAGTGTTTCCCAGAGTGGGTGAAACTGCCCCCTTGGGCACTGGAATGATGGGGGTGTGAGTGTGTAATAGTAACCTTGGGTGCAATTGTGGTTTCCTTCTACTTTCTTAAATATGGTAGATTTTCCATGGGGATTCTTATTCTAATTCAACATTAGAGCATTTGCTTTCTGAGTGTAAGGTCCTGGGTTCAGTATCGACACTGCGCCATATTAAGCTTTTCTCATGGAAATATACGAAATAGTTTCACTTGCTACTTCTGAATGCAAATTTTTTAGTTTATAAGGACACATTTTTCAGATTTGCATCAAATGTGAAACTCTTAGGGAATGTTTGATAACTCCTGAATTATACTTTTTTCATTGATATTATATATATATGTGTATATACGTGTATATATATAGAGAGAGACTTACATTTTATGTGATCTTTTTTCTGCAGTATCTGTTGCTTTTATTTGATTCTTGCATTTTCTGTAATACTTTTTTTCTTTTTTTATAATTATTTTATAAAGTAGTTCACAATATTTCATGACATTTAATATTCAAACACCAGTCCCACCACCATGACACCTTCCCACCACCATACATCAGGTGTTTCCATCCCGAACCCCAATCCCTGCCCCAAAGTAGAACTGAAATAATATATTTTGTATTGTTTGTTCTGAAAAACAGCTGAAAATGCTACAAAAAAAGTTTCCTTAGGGGAAAGAGGGTGAGGATTGTTGTATTCCACCCACAGGCCATTAAGCCCTTCTATAAGAGATTACTAACATGTTGTTAGAAGTAGAGCCTTGTGTGCTTTATATATATATATATATATATATATATTTATACATATGTAAAAAAATATTTCCATCTATAATTGGTTGCCTCCTATTTTGAACTCCATCAAATGTGGTATGGTACTCTTGGAGTATGTGTGGTATAAAGTTTCCAATAATAGGTTCACTCCTGGGTGAGGCTCAGCCTGAGTATGTGGAGAGCTGCCATGAGCCTGGCAGCGGTTGAATTCTGGGAGTTTTTGACTTCTGGGGCTGGATCCCTTGGGGCAGGTAGGACTCTCACCCGCCCCCGCTCTGGGGCACCCGAGTGAAACAGCCTGGCTTGGAGTGATTGCACATGGGTTAAAGCATTTGCCTTGCATGCAGCTGATCCTGGTTCGATCCCTCGTACCCCATATGGTTCCCTGAGCATAGTGCCAGGAGTAAGCCCTGAGCCCTAAACACAGCCAGGTGTGGCCCAAAAACTGGGATAGGAGGATGGGGGGATTATGTTCAATTGATGAAACAAATAATAGCTTTACTACATGATTTTTTTCTTTGCTTCTGCTACCTTTATTTAGGATAATTGATGAAGATGAAGAAGTTGAAGCAGACAGAAATATTAACCATCTCCCTAGTCTTGTCCTTTCGGATACAATGAAAACAGGTTTGAAGAGGGAATTTGATGAAGTCTTTACAAAGAAAATGATAGAGTCCATGTAAGTTTTTGTTCCTGGTCTCCTGATTCTGAATCTTACAAAATGTATCTATACATTGCCATCCAGTCACAGCCATCTTTATCTCCTTATTGCCAGCCAGGAAAGGTTATTTTAGGTTTTGTGAGTAACCTAGGTTGGAGATAGTCCTTTGGAAGTTCATTGGGAGTGAATAAAATACAGTATAAAGCAGAAGTTTGAAGATGCAGAAATCATGGCCTTATCTGTCTACTTTCCTTGAGGTGTTTTGTTTTTTTGAGGAGTGAGGGCACTTTGCACATCTGGCAGTGCTTGGGGCTACCTACTCCTGGCTTGGTGCTCAGGGTACCTTGTAGTACCAGAGATAAGATTCAGGTCTCAGGAATGCAGAGCATATGCTCCCGCCGTTAAGCCAGCGTCTCCCCAACCCCTCCCCTGGATTCTTCCGTAGCCCTGAAGTACATCATGGTTCTAATATTTGTAAATGAAAGTACTTAGGAGAGCCCCCAGCTTTCCCTGGCTCATTTAGTTACCTGGGAGCACCTCTGAGACCTAAGAAACAAGTCTCCAAGCAGCTCGAGTTACTTACCCCTGCACAAACCAAAACTCTCATTTTTGTCTCATAGTAGATAAGCCCTCAGGACAGGGCTTCAGCTCTAAGAACTGTTTGCTCTTAATTAGCTACCGCTTAATAAGTTCAGTTAACTGGTTTTCCAAATCATCAGAGTAGAAGCACAAAGTGAGAGCACAACAAGCCCTCAGTAGGCAGCAGTGGCAGGGCGGTGCGAAGACAGGAGGGGAAACCGGAGAACAAATGAAAGAACCTCTTAAGATAAAAATTGATGGGGCTGGAGCGATAGCACAGCGGGTAGGACATTTGCCCTTCACGCGGCCGACCCAGGTTCGATTCCCAGCATCCCATATGGTCCCCTGAGCACCGCCAGGAGTACCCCTGTGCATAGCCGGGTGTGACCCAAAAAGCGCAAAAAAGAAAAAAAAAGATAAAAATTGATGATAGTTCTGTAATTCCTGAGCTTCAATGATACTATCATTACCTGCTTGTAAAATGGTAGGCAAGTTATAAAGCACTGCTAGTTATTCCCTAGAAAGGACTATAAAGATCAGCTGTTCCTTGGGGGTGAGTTTTAGGTACAGAAAGATTCTCCTAGGACACAGTCGCAAAGATGCCGGGTAGAAGAGAGCTATTGACTTTATATAAATAGTGGCTTCGGCTGCTGCTAGATGTTAAGTCGCTGAAGTGCTTCTAGCCCTGTTGAGCTTATAATAGAACTACCCCACCCTAAGAGAGCAGTTAGCCTGAGTCCCAGAAGCCATCAAGCCATCACTGGGTGGGTAGGAACTAAAGGGCAGGCACTGGCTAACTCCTGGCCTGTGCTCAGGGATTGCTCTTGGTAGTGTTGTGGGGGACCATATAGGGTGCTGGAGATCAAACCCAAACACCCTGCCTGCTGTATTATCACTCTAGCCCCAGCATTGGTGTTTTGACTTATTGCGAAAGACACTGCAGTTCAAGGGCCCGGGATATGACTCCAGTGGTGGAATTCATGCCGGGCATGTGCGAAGCCCTGGGTTTAGTCCCTGGTGCTGTGCAGGCCTCTCCTTATCCAGCACCTTGGGTATGTCCCTGTTGGTCACAGAGCACTGCTAGGCCTGTACACTGCCAGAGAGGCCCCAGGTCCTTCTGCTCCGGCCCAGAGTTAGCCCCTTTTCAAAAAACATCATTCTTAGCTATACTAAGCAAAGGTTAGAGTTGAGATACATTTTGTTCATTTATTTATTATTGAATCACCTGAGATACACAGTTATAAAATTGCTCGTGATTGGGTTCTAGTCATACAATGTTCCAACACCCCTTCCTTCCCCCCGCCCCCACCTCCCACAGCCTGCTTCTGCAGCAGGTACTTCTCTCTCTCTTGCCAGATACATTTTTTAGAAGTGAGGGGCCAGTCCAGGCAGAACTTGGGATAGCACCTATTCTGTAGGAATAGAACTCAGCAGCTGCTTGCTAGATATGTGCTCTACCACTTGAGTTACTGCTCTGGTTCAAACTGGGATACCTTGGTGTTCCTGGTTCAGGGACCACACTGGACAGTGTTGAGCACTTAACTCGTGGCTCACTGCTCAGGAGACCGCACAGTTCCAGGGATTGAATCTGGGCCTTCTTGCATGCAAAGCATAAACTCATCTCATTGAGTTATCTTGCCAGCCCATAGAAATAATTTTCTTCAGGGGCTGGGGGGAGCTGGTCCCAGGTCATTCCCAGTCGTGCTGGGGGGCTAACTACTGAGCCTGTGGTTAGGGACCATGTGGTGCCAGGGATAGAACGGAGGTTACCTGCATGCAAAGCCAGTGCCTTAAATACTACCCTCCCTCCCCCTCCCCCCTGTTACTAATATGAGTATCCCTGGTAGTGCTCAGGGGACATAGGCAATGCTCGGATCAGTCCTGGGTCAGCTACATACAAGGCAAGTGCCTTCACTGTTGCACCATCTCTCCAATCTAGTGCTCTCACTTCAAATATTAACTTTAACTAATTGGCTTTTTTTTGGACATATGTCTTTTGTTTTTATATCCTGACATATTTTTCTAAAAATTTTATAAGCATCTCTAATGTTTTAGGAGCCGTCCTTCCATGGAACTTGTGCTCTGGAAACCTCTCCCTGAACTCCTCTCTGATAAGCCAAAGCCATCATCTAATGCTAAGAACTACCCAGGAGAGAGCCAAACTAAGCATGCAACTCCTGCGACTGCCTTCTCTCAGAGAACTGAACTGTTCTTGGAGCCTCAGCAATTAGCGATGCCTGTTTACAGTAGTTTGGAGTCAGCAGCTTGCACAGAAGAAGAGATGGAACTCTAGAAATTGGTGTCTGCACTAAAGCTGTCCACATTTAGAAGGCTCATGTGTTCAGTCGTGAGTCAGTTTGTATAGTAAGGGACTTGAGCATTATGAAACGGGTGTCTTAATATCTCCACCTATGATCTGGGGTGGGCCTCTCATTTTGGGTAGCTATTTCTGGAGTTCAGCATTTTGCCAAGGAAGCGCATCTCAAGGGAAAAGCAATTTTTTTAGGGGACTTAAACGTGACATTACAGACTACAGTGGCAAGTATAGAAGCTATATGTGAGAGGGTGACTTAGTCATCATCAAATTGTCTAACACCATTCTGGTACTTGATGGAGATGCATTAAGAAAGAAGGATTTTGTCTATAGATAGGAGCTTTGTTAACCCTGGTGAATATATGTATTTGTATTCATGTATATGAATAATGTATTTCACCAGAATCAACAAAGCTCAGATCTACACAAATATTTATATTATTACCCACACATATATATGGTTTGTGTGAAGGAGGGAAAGAAGCAGTAGCCTAAGCCTATTGCTAAGAAATTGAACAGGCTCTGGGGTTGGGTATTTGTTGTCAACTTATTGTAGCTTTCTTGATTAAATAGTAGCATCGTGGCTCACCTCTGTACTTAGGAAAATCAAAGGAAAAGTGTTTCCTTCAAGGCTTTTTTTGCCTTCTGCTACTGTTTCCCCTTGGTTTCTCTTACATAATTGATAAATACAGTTATTCAGTAATGTTGACAACTTAACTCTGAAAGTTTCAAACAAAGTGTGACAAATTGTGGAAGAAGCATCCCATGTTTAGGTAATCCCCAGAAAGTGCTGTCAGCTAACCCCAGGAAATTTCTGTCATTTAAAAAAAAAAAGTGGTGCCCAGAGTTGTTTTTTTAAGGCTAATGAGAAAAAGGACTGAATAGTTGACAGAACTTTGGGCAAATGACACCCATATTTACTGAAATAGCTAATTTGCCTAGTCCTCCAACTATGACATGGTAAGCCTAAAACTAGTAGGAAAAAGCATCCTGCTATCAGGAAATCTTCATCTTGAGGTCTTCAACCAGGCTTAAGGTATTGATAACCGAGATTGAAAGTTTTTTGTTTCTCAGGAAATTATCTTCTGTGTGGCAAGCACTTGTAGTGCAAAGTACAGCAACAATTCCTTTAGAGCTGCAGAATACCCACTATAACTTATGAAATGAGTATCATAGTGTAAGATTGGCCCTTTCATCACACTACAGACCACCCCAGTTCTTTGTTTTGTTATCTGGCTTTCTTCCCTCTTCGTAGGAACAGATACTTATGTTAAAAAAAAATGTTTATTTCAAGTAGAAGTGACTTTTTAGAAACCAACTCCCAGGCATTTTTTAAACCCATGCTGAAATCCCTCTCATTTTTACAGATGGTGTAGAAGTCATAAGTCTGTTATTTGGACTGTTTCTTCTCTTGCCTGTTGTACCTGCTTTTTCTATTTCTTTCTGGATAGTCAGGAAAAGATTTAATGTTTAATATTTAAACAATATTTAATATCTAAAGATAAGATTATTCAAACTTCAAACCAGTATTGAAACCAGTTGGAAACCAGCTAATAGTTTCTTAATCTCAGATTTAGAGATGAATGTAAACTGTATTCTGTTGAGATGTGCAAGCGCTTGACTCATGCCATTTAAAAAATTCCTGCCTTGAAGTCATTGAGTAATGGGACCAACTTTAAAATTTTGTAGCCTTAAATCTCCACGCTGAAAGGTTGGTTTGAGTACAACGTAGAAACGTGAAGTGAGGTAAGCATAGTTTCCAAGTCAGGCTGGAAAGGGAGATAACTGCCTTCCGAAGGAGGGCCCAGCATACTGCCTGTCCTCTGGAGGAATTCCTGGGACAGTTCTCTCATCAGCAGTCTGTACAATGAAAAGGAGGAACAAGCCCACAGAACAAGGCTCTAATGCTGTTGGTAAAAGAGGAGGGAATTGAGGTTCTGTTCATGGGATACCAACAGAACTTGTTTCAGGAGTCAGATTATCTGCCATGATAATTATTTCTGCAGGAAAATGGATATTTAAAGCTCCTTTTAAAACTTGATGTGGCATATGTTTGTACAAATCGTCTTCATCCATGTGGTGCTTACTCATCTGAGCCACAGTCCTATGTCTTTCGCTTTGTTTTTCTTTTGGAGTGGGAAGCTTTTGCTTTTGCCTTAAGGTTGTCCCTAGGAGTTAACAGGTCTTTTCGTTTTGTACAGCTTCTGACGCATGGATCGACATTAGCTTCTTATGCTAGTGTCTGAAGAGAAAAGTTTCTGAAGCAGGTGAGCTTTAATGAACAAACATATATTTTCTGTGAGCTGAGTAGGGTGTGTGTGGTTTGATTTTTTGAAATTAATATGGAGAAAGTAAGTTTGGTTGTCAGAAATAGATTGGTATTTTTTAAAAACGCAAAAATAAAACCTGCTACTCATTCTTGAAAAGGTGCACATGTAAAATTTAGGAAAAAAGATAGGAGCTAGAAATATAAGAAGAATGTTTATCAACAGGTTCATAATGTTGGATTTGGACTAGTTTTGTTTTTAATAGTGATATGAATGGCATAGTGTTAGGAAAGTTCTGAAAAATGCTGTCAATTTTACTTTAAAAATGAGAATCTGGTGTTTCTGTATTTTACTGTTTTCAATAAAATGTGTGTTTTGGACCTTTGAGATATTATATTCATATACTTGAGTCAATAAAGTCAGGTATCATTGCTTTTCTCTAAATTGTAATCAAAGTAGCATTCATGTATTAGGGACTTCATTTTTATTTTTAGAAGTTTGTTCTAAAGATTATTTTTCTGTTGGTTTTTTGTTTTTGAGCCAGACCCTGTAGTGCTCAGGACTTAGTACTGACTCAGTTATCACTCCTGTTAGGGAGGCCTGGGTGGTGGTGGGGGACCATATGGCACCCAGGGATGGAACCTGGTAGACCTGGATTCAACCCGCAGAATTCCATTTGGTCCCTGAGCATTTCCAGGTGTGTCCCCAAAACGAAACAAAGGTCATTTTTTTTATCCTGAAACCGATTTCCACTATACTCAGCTACTTGGTACTATTTTCTATCAGTTGTCTTAACTGATTTCAGTGGTGATTACCAGTGTTCAGTTGGCAATATTGAATTTTTTTTTTTTTTTTTTTTTGCTTTTTGGCTAGAGGGATAGCACAGCAGTAGGGCGTTTGCCTTGCACACAGCCAACATGGCCGACCCGAGTTCGATTCCTCCGCCCCTCTCGGAGAGCCCGGCAAGCTACCGAGAGTATCTCGCCCGCACGGCAGAGCCTGGCAAGCTACCTGTGATGTATTCGATATGCCAAACACAAGTAACAACAAAGTCTCCAATGGAGACATTACTGGGCCCGCTCGAGCAAATCGATGATCAACGGGAGGGCCTTTACCTTTTTTTACCTTTTTGGGTCACACTCAGCAAAGCACAGGGGTTACTCCTGGCTTTGCACTCAAGAGTTGCTCCTGGCGGTGCTCAGGGGACCATATGGGATGCTGGGAATTGAACCCGGGTCTGCCACATGCAAGGCAAACGCCCTACCTGCTGTGCTCTCTCTCCAGCCCCTATTCAGTCTTTAGAAGGATCAAATACGGAGTTGGAAATGGTACCTAGAGTACACAGAGAGAGGTTTGGGATAATTTTAAAGATGGGAATAAGATAATTACATGGCCGATTCTCTTAAGAATTAACAGGTCACTGGGGGGCAGTATTGCCTATACACTTAAAGCCACTGATGAATTTGGACCTCGCATTTGCAGGCAGATGGTATTAAGTCTGGATTGCAATTGCAGAAAAGTTGGGATATTGCTTTGGTTTTTTTAATCAAAATTTGAAAATGATAGAAGTGAATCTTGCTTCATTTTAAAGGCCTGGAAACTAAAGCCTAGGAATATAGAGAAATTTTAGTCATATTAGCCAACCACCAGGTCCAAGATTCTTCCAGCTTGATCACTGTTTGTTTTATTTCAGTTTTGAACCCTACCCAATAGAGTTTGGGAACTGTTCTCAGCTCTGCTCAGGGGTCACATTCCCAGCAGTGCTTGGTCAAGGGACCATGTAGTGTGGTGATGCGATTGAATCAGAGGCAGCTGCATGCCAAGCAGGCTACTTACCCCTGTGCTATCTCTCCGACCTAATAGTTTTTAGAGGCTTTTTAACTGTAATACCTAAAATGTCATTTACATTTAATTGAAATAATCTATAATAAAGTATGTTTCATGAAGGCACTGTAACTTTAAACTCTTGAGACAAAAACTGTAAGCTCAGTCTTATGGTTTGGTTTCATATGTCCTACCAATGGCATTTTGTTATTTTGTTTTGGGCTTACACTTGCGTGCTCAGGGCTTACTTCTGGTTCTCAGGAATCACTCCTGGCGGTGCTCAAAGGACTGTATTTGATGAGCATCAAACCAGGGTTATGGCCAAAGTAGCCACATGCAAGGCAGATGTCTCAGCTATAAGGTCCCTGGTACCGTTTTAAAGATGAACTAGATGAAATAATAGTGTTAAACTAATTCCGGCATGCCAAATAGTGTCTTTCAACACCTTAGTGAGAAAACACTTTCTTGTTTCTAATGAATTTCGCTTATTTTTTTCTCTTTATTCTGTGGGGCTGGAGCAATAGCACAGTGGGTAAGGCATTTGCCTTGCAATCGGCCAATATGGCCGAACCGAGTTCGAGTCCTCCGCCCCTCTCGGAGAGCCTGGCAAGCTACCGAGAGTATCTCGCCCGCACGGCAGAGCCTGGCAAGCTGCCCGTGACGTATTCGATATGCCAGACACAGTAACAACAAAGTCTCCAATGGAGACGTTACTGGACCCGCTCGAGCAAATCGATGAATAACGGGAGGACCGACCGTGACCTTTCTGTGATGATGGGATGGGATAGGGCATAAAATATACTTGGTTGGGGTGCTTACACACTTCAGTGGTACTCCCACTCACTTGATTGTGGGGCACCACCCATCACACACTTAGTTTCTCCCTCCCTGGTAGCAGTTTGTTGTGGTGAGGGGTTTGCGCATCTGGTTGCAGTGCTCACACACTTGAGCTCACAGCTCATCTGGGTTTGCACACTTAAGTTGCATTGCCTGTATACATGCTGACCAGGATTCACATTTAGTTGTGCTCTCACACATTCTGCTTAGATTGCTGGCTGGAGTGAGCCTACTGCTCATACAGTGCTCCCTTTGAGGACAGTGGGGGCTGGGGTAAGGGTGGTCAGACTCCTGGCTGCAGTGCTTACGAGGAATCACACTTGAGTTCCAGGGTTCACATAGCCTGCTTGTCAGGTTGCACACTGAGCCACTGGAACCCCACTTGGAGCATGTGGGTGGACCTGAGGAGTGAACTCAACCTGGTGTTTTTAGCCATTAAGCCATTCTTGGAGAATTTGAGATCTAGGGTCAAGTTTTTATGCCCAACTAGGCACTGTCACCTGCCTAGAGTTCTGCCCTTCTGTTTTGCTCCTATAGCATACCAAGTAGAGAGGCAGTGGAGCACAGGGACTAATACTTGCAAGGTCCAGAGAAATGGTGTACAGACATCTGGCACCAGTTATTTCCGTCTCAGTTACGAACAATCTTCTGCATTTAGTGAACGTCTTGCCTTGTATTTTCAGGAAAATACCTTTTTATTTCTAACCATTAAACTTAATGTTTCAATATGAAGATGTCCTTGAATACCAGGTGTTTTCTCAAGGCTGAGCCCGTGTTTCGTAATTACCACCCATCTGTGCAGGAAACGAAAACCCTGATAATTTACACAAGTTATGTATGGCTTGTTATTTCTGTTAGTACAGCTGCCTCTTTCATATGTTGTCACTGAATGTAAATTATTTGAGTCCCAGTCTCCAGATGCTTGTGCCATTATGATGAGGCCTAAAATGCATCTGTTAATTACAGCTGCTTGTGTGTTCCTAAATAGATACTTAGCTCTAAAGCTTTCAGTTTAGAAATCCAGGTGATAAGGTTTTTATAGTCTTATATTTATGCAGGAAACTAAGTTCCTAGCAAATATGAATTGCGCAGCAATAGGATTAAACTTTGGCTTTAGCAATGTCTAGACTTTTCACTTTTGTGAAACAAGTTAGAGAGTACAGATAATATCTGTAGATGAAAGCCCTTCCAAGGAACTTGAATATCTAACTTTCAAGTGATTAGGAAGGTGCTTTGTTTCTATCAAGCGCTAAGACTGCATCGACTCTTGTTAATAATGGCAAGAAACCTTGATATTTAGTGGTATGTCCTCTATCCTAATATTGCAAGAACCTTGTAAAGGTTCAGCTCTGCCACTTATTTCAATCTGGATAAGGTTAAAGAACTATAGTGACTTCTCGGAGTAAATTATGTCACTTGGCGCAGCCAGGCAATAGTTAAGGATTGTCTGTGGGGGACAGGGTAGTCGTCAGTTGCTTTTAAAAAGTGGCATGCTGAGGCTGGGGCTCAAGTAGAATATATGCCTTGTGGCTTTGATCCCTGGCACTATAGAGCACCCAGCACTGCTATAGCTTGGGGGACCCCCAGCATTTACCTGAAACGGTTCCTACACTAGTCAACAATAGCAATAAGAAAGGGGCATCCCCAGTGATGGCAAGTATATCCCTACCACAGCGAACAGTGAAACACCTAAAGAGAACAGTTAAAGACCCATTAAGGAATCAAAGAACAAAGCGGCTCATTGCACTTTTTAATTGCCCGGGTAGTTTTAAATAAATGGAGAAAGCACCTTTCAAAAGCTAAACTAGCAGGGAAAGATTCCATCAAGCATTTACATAGTAAATTTCTATCATTTTACACAAGATTCTTTATCTTTGCTTGAACTGTACATGAGTGGAGAGTATCGCACTCAAGTAGTGTTCTCTGCTTGCAGAAGCAAACTAGAGAATCTAACATGGGAAACAAGCCTGGGAAGCCAAGAGGGGAAAGAGAAATGGTGAATATTTAAGTCTCATGTCTGAGACATTTTTCCAGTGACCCTTAACATAAGTATTTTAGGGCAAACCACTACCCTAAAGACAAAGGTACAATATAAAAATTACAATTCTGAATTATAGGAAAACACGAGTACCTTAAAGACTGCTGGGTGTCAAAAGACAATACTTTAGGTGACCTGTGAAGTTTGAACAAATACTTTAAAGGCATTCTCTAAAACTGCACACCCTCTACTTTGGCTTTCTGAATGAAGCAGACAGCTTTCTCTGCTGTCCTCCAGGCAGTGTGACGGTCACGGAAAAGGGCAACAGCACTGGATTACTTCTTAGACACTAATCAGCTGGGGGAAGAGTTCATTGGCAAAAGTGTCCTCCCAAGAGTGGTCTACATCGAGCAGAGAGGACATGTCACTGAAGGGGGACGGGGTGCTCTCGTATCTACAGTCACTGTATGCATCCGGTAGACAGGATGGCGGCTTCAGGGAGTGGCTGGATGAAAGTAGATCTGAGAGACCCAGCTCTGGGACGAAGTCATCTTCTACAAGTTCTTCCTTCACTGAGACAGTGAATTCAGGGTGATCTTTCTCTGCAGGGCTGAAAGGTGCTTCCTCGATTTTGACTACCACATCAGCTTGGCCCTCTGTCTCAGAGGGAATCTCTAAGACAAGGGGCTTGGTGTATACATGATCAAAACGAATTAGTTCATTAATGGCTTCCAGCTTGGCTGATGACGCCCCCAGTGGTGGAGAAGGGGAGGCTGGTAAGGAACTGGGTCCTTCTGGGTAGACCTCTGGGAGCTCCTCCAAACTTGTTGACTCTGGGGAAGGACATCTGAAGAACATGACCGGGTCCAAGTTGAACAGAATGCCCAACAGGATGTCAGACTGCAGGAAGCAAAAATCAAATGAGGTCCAACAACATACTAGGGAAAAATACCTAGACCACTTTCTGTAAGGCAAGCACCCTGCCTGTTCCACTAGTTTCTACTGTTCTGGCCCCCAGAGTACTTTCTTTGTTTTGTTTTATTTGGGGGCTACACCCGGTGATGCTCAGGTGTTACTCTGGCTTTGCACTCAGGAATTATTCTGTGTGGTGCTCAGGGGTCCACATGGAATGCTGGACATCGAACTCGAGTCACTGTGTGCAAAGTAAGCTCCCTCCCTGCTGTGCTATCTCTCCACCCTTCCCCCACCACACTTCTTTAAGTTTCATAATACCAACCAACATGCTGTAGGAAAATCTCTAGGACCCACCTGACCCATTTATACCTCATTCTTTTCCTAAATCACCTGGAAATAGGCAGTGTTTGCCTTTGAACTAAACCAAACCAAAGCCAGCATTCATCCATCTAGTTAGGGATATGCGCCATCAAACAGAATGACCTAGCTCTTTAGTAAAGCTACAGCATGCCTACCTCAGAGTCTGAAGAGTCAACACTGTCAGAATCCACGGGGAGAGGTTCTGGAGGGGTGACAACTGGGCCTGCACCTGCTGCAGAGGTGCACGTAGTCTGAGTGCTGCGGACTCAGCAGACCCGGCCACCGGCCTCACTCCATTCCCCTAGAAGAAAGACCAAAGCAAATCACCTCAAATAGCCACAAATTTCTGAGAACATTCAACAGACAGCCTGTGAGTCTCAACTCATTTTGAGGCCACACTTACAGTGCTCAGGGCCGACTCCTGGATCTATGCTTAGGAATCACTTCTGGCAGTGTTCAGGGAACCAAATGCAATGCTGAGGACTGAACTGGGGTTGACTGCATGCAAGTTAAATGCCTTAACCCTTGAATATTCTCCCTGGCTCTGAATGTCTAATGAAAGTCGGGGAAAAAAGTATTTTTTGAGATTGTGCTCAGAGCTTATTCCTGGCTCTGTGCTTAGTAATCATCCTGGTTGGGTTCAGAGGACCACTGGACCATATCCAATGGCAGGGATGGAACTTTGGGGCAGCCATGTACAAGGCAAGTAGGTGCCTTTTCCCCTGTGCTAGAACTATGGCCCCAAAACTCGGCTTAAATTTTTCTTTTCCTTTATTCCAGTTTCTGGAGTGCTCATTGAGAAATTAGAAAAGGGAGTTCCGACTAACAGTTCATTGTGATTTTTCTGTATATTAAAACCTTTTTCCTTTCCAAGCAAAGATTCAAGCAGGACTAACATCTTTTTATTTGGGGGTCATAACTGATAGTGCTCAGGGGCCACTCTCAGAAATGCTCCGGGGATTGAATCTGGCCCCGTCACATGTAAAGCATGTGGCACAGTCCTTTAAGCCCTCTCCCTGGCTGTAGGGCTAACATTCTGAGGATGTCAATAATAATATTAGTAAGCTCTTGAATTTAGGCCCAGAATCCTTTGGATAGTAATTTTTTTCTGAAGCAAGATAATTTTTAATTGAATGAAACTTAGAAAGATGGGGGAGGAGAGAAAAGGAATACATTTTTAAGAGAATGTGAGCTTGTCAGAACAAGCAATTAAGTATTCAAGGGAAACTCGTGCTTGAAAGAGCAAGGCAGTAATTTTTTTATTTTTCAGTTTGCCCTTAACATTCCTTTCATACAGCAGAACTGTATTAGGCACCGTAAATATTTTGTTTGAATTTGCCATTGTCCAAAGAGTATTAAATAACTTCTATCAGAAAGAATTCTTTATTGTTTCACCAAAAAAATCCTTAATTTTAGTCACATTTTGGGAATTCAGATGCAGATAGAGGATCATTTATTCAGATTCTCCTTAATTGTAACAGGGTGGAGTTTGCTGGTCACTTTTTTGTACTTATTTGCAATAACATTTATTTTTATTAGCACTTCCTACTACTCACTATACATTTGAAAAATGAGTGTCGGGCCGGAACAGTGGTGCGGGGGTAAGGCACGCAGTCGACCAGAGTTCAATCTCTGGCATCCTATTCCCCAAGCACCACCAACCACCAGGAGTAATTCCTGAGTGCAGAGCCAGGAATAACCCCTGAGCATCACTGTGTGTGACCCAAAAAGCAAAAAAAAAAAGGCAAAAAAAAAAGTTGTCATTAGTTGAGGTCATGTCACTTTTGATCAGTTTCCACTCAAAACATCAAGTGAAGGAGATGACTTACCTTGGTCTCTGCCTCCTCTTCAGTAACCAGGGCATCCATCCCTAAGCGTTGCCGTAACTCCTGGTTCTCAACCACAAGACCATGAGTTTTCTCTCGTAAAAGCTGATTTTCTAGCAACAGTTTCTGGTTCTGGAACAAAATGAATTAGAGGCTATTAAAATATCTCGTTCTTTCTTGAGAAATCCACTGGATTTCAACCATGCACATAACTATATTTTGGCTAAAAACAGCAAAAGACTTTTAACATGAAAGGTTGAATGAGGAAACTAGACTTGGGCTTTTGGGGGGCTGTTTTTTCAAAGCAGGACAATTTATTGAAATTTATTTGAAAAGATGTGAGGGGAGAGAAAGAGGGAAATGTTTGTTAGAAAACAGGTTTCTCAGGAGTGGAAATAGGAAAGCAAAAGATACAAGCAAATGAAATGGATGTTCAAGGGAGAACTGGGGGCTGAAGAGCAGGCCTAGTTTTATTCTTTAAAAAAAAAAATTGAAACAGAGACCAGAGAGAGAATACAGCTGGCAAGGCATGTGCCTTGCATGAGGCCACATAAAAAAATTTTTAAAGTAAGTAACTGAAACTGTTGATATACAACTATTTCATACTTCTTTTAAATATTTATTCCCATATCATAATCTACCAAGACCCCACATCTCTCCATTCAATAGTTAAGTACCCTACTATGTGCCAAGTCCTGATTATCAAGTCTTCTTAGCCTCTATACCAAAAATTGATGCTTTTTTTTTTTTTTTGGCTTTTTGGGTCATACCTGGCGATGCACAGGAGTTACTCCTGGCGGTACTCAGGGGACCATATGGGATGCTGGGAATTGAACCCAGGTGGCCGCGTGCAAGACAAACGCCCTACCCGCTGTGCTATCTCTCCCGCCCCAAAAGTTGATGCTTTTTTTTAAAGAACCCAACTCTATGAATTGTTTCCACAAAAGTTTTATTTTTACTGTCTTACGCTTTTGTAGACAGGAAATATTAAGACTTCTTAATTTACCGTATTAAATACAAGACTTTTGTCTATACAGTTTTTCTCCAGAATCTTTTATTAGTTAATTTCTGTCTGGGGCCACATTAAACAGAAAACAGGGCTTCTGGCAGTGATCGGAAGACCATAGGCATGCAGTGCCAGGGATTGACCTGGAGTGAGCAGTGTGGACAGCACGCACCTAAATCCCTGCACTATATGCCTTAAAGATTCTAATATCTGAATTTACTAATGATCCACTCCCCATATGGTGAATGACATCTAATCAATTTCAGCTGATACCACTAATAAACAATACATAAATTGTGCAATCATGTCGAACAGATTAGTACCAAACAATACAATAATAGTAATCTATAATAGCTTATTTTCAAATCATGTCTTCAAATTGATTTAAGAAAAAAATCCACCAGATGTGAGTTTCACTACAATTGGCTTCCTTTCCTTTTACTTGATTTTTTGAAAAACTATGCAGTTGTTCACAATAAGTATTATGAAGCAAAGTAGTAATTATGAAAATAAGACTATTTAAAAGTTCTATTTTACGGGGTCAGGAATGGCACAATGTCTCCAAGTAATGCAAACCTCTGCAAATGGTGATTTCTAGCTTAAATTTCGGTATGTATTTAAAACACCCTATTTAAAAAAATCGGGGTGCCATACCTGGCAGTGCTTAGGGATTACTTCTGGCTCTGTGCTTAGGGATCACTCCTGGTGGGGCTAGGGGGGTGTATGATATAGGGAGTTTGGGATTGAATCCAGGTTGGCTACATGTAAGCCAAGAGCCTTACCCTTTATACTCTGGCCCCAGTATGTTTTTTAAAAAAGAATATAGGCAATATGAATATTTCATGTATTCAAAATGTGTGACTGGCAGTAGAATGTATTAGATCAACAGTAACATTAAGTAGACTGTCAAAGGGAAAAACAACTTCGTGGACTTTTAACCAAGCTAGGATAGGACTCGAATTTGAGCAATGATTTCCTGTTTACTTTTCGTCAAGAAACAGAATAATTTACAATCTCCAGAGAGATCTAGTAACAAATACCAGGGGGCCGATCACTTCGCTCTCATCAAGCTTCCTCACATACTCTCCTTATTTCTTTTAGTTGAACGTAGGCGTAAGGGATGGCACCAGCCCCTGCCCTGTGTTCCGGGTCACTCGGGGGGGTCTGGGAGGACCAACCAGGCCCCCCAGTATGCAACCCACGTGCTCAGCCCACGGAACCGTCTCTCTGGCCCTAGTTTAGCCGTCAATCACGTGATCCTCCGCATCTGAAAGGGGATGAGAAACACGGAGCAGACACAGTCACTAAGGCAGGGGACGAATGACACCGGACTTGGCGTTTTTACCTCTTCTTCCAAATCTACCACTTGCTGTTCCAGCTCACTCATTCGCGCTTTCTTGCGGTCTCTGGCCGTCTGCGCTGCTACTCTGTTTTTCAGTTTCCTGAGGACGAGGAACACAGTCGCACTGAAACCGCCTCGATCTTCAAACATCCCTCTGTCTGTCTGTCTGTCTGTCTCTCTGGAAATGTGGGTCTCCTCCCGGTGCTTCCACCAGAACGCGCGGCGGCGGCGGCGGCAGCGAGGGTGGACCGAGAGCGACATCCCCGGGACCCCCGGGACCCCCTCGGCCCTCCACCCTCCGCGCCAGCCCGGCCTGGGCGGCTCCGAGCACCTCCCGCTCTTGCGTCATCCGGCTCCGGGTCCAGCCGGCCGCGAGCGCGACTCCTCTTGCATCAGGGGAAACTGGGCTCCTCCCCCCCCTCCCCCGCGGGCCCCCCAGCACCCACCCACGGCGGGCCGCGCTCGGCGCGGGGACAAGCGCCCTCCCGCTCGCGGCGCCGGCTCCGGGGCCGGGGACACGCCGGGCCCCTGCCCGTGGCCGCTCGGGGAGGCGCCTCCGGAGGCACCGCCGGGGCTTCTCCCGCGATCGCGCCGGGCGCTGCGGGGGGCCGCCTCGGGAGGGTCCCGGGGTCCGGCCGAGCTCCGAGCCCGCCCCCCACCGCCACGGCGGAGCCCCCGGAGCCAGCGCGGAGCCGCGGCCGACGACGCGGGGCCCCCCGACGCTTCCTGCCCCGCCCGCCGCCTCCCGAGCAGCCCCCGCCCGCGCGGGGCCCGCGCCCACCTCCGCAGCGCCTTCTCCTCGGGGCTCAGGTGCGTGAGGCGCTGCCGCTTGCGAGCCTGCGGCGGCCCCTCGCTCGCCGCCTCCGGGCCGGCGCCGCGCTGGCCCGGCACCATGAGCGGCAGCGGCCCCCCGGCCGGGGCTCCGGCGGCGGCGGCGGCGGCGGGCTGGCCGGACAGGAGCAGGACTTTGGGGGCCCCGGCGGCCGGACTCTGCGCGGCGGCCACCACCACCATGGCCGTAGAGTGTCCTCGCGAGTGCGCGCCGCCGCCGCCCAGCCGGGCCGGGCCGCCGCCGCGCAGCCTTTCTACGGTCGTGGCCCTCCGCGATTGGCCAGCGCGGCGTGACGCGGCGCCGCTCTTGGAGCTCATTGGCTACTCGCGCCCCCGCGGGGCGGGGCCGGAGCGGCCAGCGTGGCGATCGCAGGCGTCGTGTCCCCCCACCCCCCACCCGGCCCGGGTCGCTTTCCGCCGCCGCGTCCGCCGGGATGGGGCGCTGAGTGTCGCGGGGTCGCCCGGGCCGTTTGGGGGTCGGGGTGCAGGGGAACCCCGAGTCCGCGAGGAAGGGTCCGGAATCCGCTGAAGTCGCCTCCACCGGCGGAGTCCGCCCCCCGCCCCCGCCCCCCGACTGACCCTTTTCGCCGCAACAGACGAGCGTGACTTCCCGGCCGGGACTTCCCCGCGCGGACGCGTTTCCCCCGGGCCTTTGAGCCGACTTTTGCCACGAAACGTTTCTCTCCGGCGCCACTGAGGCCCCGACCGGAGCGGAAAGTCGAGAAAGAACACGAAACTGGGCTGGAAACTAGGGAAAGAAAAAAAGACATTTTTCCCGTGCGATTCGTCTTTCGGAAAAGAGGCCGCGCGATGGACTTGTTTTCGCTCCCACGGAGCGGTAGGAAAGAGAGAGTTTTGATTGTCACCCGGTGGTGGGAACGCAAGTCGTTTAGTCTCTCTTTGCATTCCTAAACTTGCTATACCAGCAGTATACGGTGTTTTTTTTTTAAACAAGAAAACCACTTGTTGAAAGGAAGCGTCCCCAAGGGCAATACTCCGCCCCTGGGCGCTGGCCGGTTCAAGGTCCAGCGTAGTAGGGACGCTGGTGACCGAGGGGCCTAAAGACGGTAGTAGCAAGAGAGCAAGTGAAAATTTTGGGGGGGGGGCACACCCGGCGATGCACAGGGGTTACTCCTGGCTCTACACTCAGGAAACACCCCTGGCGGTACTGGGGGACCACATGGGATTCTGGGAGTCGAACCCGGGTCGGCGGCGTGCAAGGCAAACGCCCTCCCGCTGTGCCATCGCTGCAGCTACCCCTCCCTCCCACCCCGAAAATTTAAGTGAAGAACCCCTCTGTGTCTCTCTCTCTCTTTCTCTCTCTCTCTCTCTCTCTCTCTCTCTCGTAATCACTGTTTCTGAAGCAAATTACAGAATATCATGTTCTCTAGAATTTCAAGGCAATATTTTTGTTCTGGTTTGATTGTTTAGGGGGGTCATACCCGGTAATGCTCAGGAGTTACTCCTGGCTCTGCACTCAGGAATTTACTCTTGGCGGTGCTTGGTGGACCATGTGGGATTTGGGATCTCTGCAAGGCAGACGCCCTACCCAGCACCGCGCAGTCACTCACTCCACCCGGCAGTGTTTTAACAAAGAATATTACTTCCTCTGGACTTTGACCCTGTCCTGGGTTCTAGGGATGCAAAGATCAGTAAAAAGCATAAATGGGGCCAGTACAGCAGGAAGGGTGTTTGCCTTGCACTGGGCCAACCTTGGTTACATCTCCGGCATCTCATATGGTCCTGAGTGCAGAGCCATGAGTAACCCCTGAGGATCCCCGGTGTGACCCAAAAAAGCCAAAAAAAAAATCATAACGTGGCTGAAAGATGACACCAGAGGTTCACTGTTAAGAGAGAATGGTTCTAGGTGCTTTTAAATCAGAATTGCTCTTAAATTATATTTTGGTGGAGAGGAACCAGAGGGGATAAAAAACAACTAAAGTAATCTAAAGTAATTCAGTCTCGATAAAGAAATCCTTTGAAAGGGCACTGTCTCAGCTCTGGACCAAAAACCTCAATGTTTTCCTCCTCCCCGTTGGCAACTGCAAGTAAAGATTACTTTCAACTAAGCTGACCCAGCTCCGGGCACCCTCAGCAGCCCTGAGCACAGACTGCTTGCTAGGACCAGGCTGGTCAAGATGGGGATCTGGGAGGGGACTGGACTGACTACTGGTTCCTGACTCCTTCAGAGGGTTTTTCAAAAGCCTTGAGCCACCTGGTCCTTCTGTGCCTGCAGGAATGGAGTGCTCTCTACCGGCTTGGTTCTGGAAAAGTTGGGGTGCCTTCTGGTTGACAGTCATTTGTGTTAAAGGACTAACAGTCACCTAATTGTCATGCAATTTTCTATGAAGTAACATTGTTATTGTGAACAGGAGAGAGTGTCTGTGAGAATGACCAAGGAAGGAAAGAGAAATATTAATATAGGCAATACAGGCATGAAAAGAAAGTGCAGGAGGCCCCTAATATATTAGTCCAGCAATTTCAATAAGTCAACCACATCCCTGTTGGGACTGAGAAGAAAAAGGCTGTGAGTGAATTTCTTGAGGATCTCTGTTTTATAGGAGTAGAAATAGAATGTTGAAATTGCCACTCCCAAGGATTTTTGTCTTTTTTTTTTTTTAATGTTAGCTGTTAGGGCCACACCCAGCATTTCTCAGGGCTTACTCCTGGCTCTGCATTCAGGAATTATTCCTGGCAGTGCTCACGGGACCATATGGGATGCCAGAGACCGAAGTCAGGTCTACCACATTACCACATGCAAGGCTTTACTTGCTATACTTTGTCTAGCTGGTCTTTTTAAAAACATAAGCTTTTGAAATCATACTTTAAAAAAAATTTAATGCAATATAGATTACTATTTTTGAACACTAAAGTTCAGACTTTTTGAGGGATATGTTGGTGAGCGGTGGGGGCATAGTTCGGTGGTTGCCTTGCCTGTGTGAGGCACTGGGTTCAATTCTTAGCACTGCAACTAATTTTTTTTTTAATTATCTAATTTTTTTAAGTAGCTAGGTGGTAGAATGATAGTACAGCGGGTAAGGTGCTTGCCTTATGGAGCTAACCTGTATTCAATCCCCAGCATCTCAAAAGATCCTTTGATTTTTCTTTTTTTTTTTTTTTGCTTTTCGGGTCACACCTGGCAGTGCACAGGGGTTACTCCTGGCTCATGCACTCAGAAATTACTCCTGGCGGTGCTCAGGGGACCATATAGGATGCTGTAAATTGAACCCGGGTCCGCTGTGTGCAAGGCAAACGCCCTACCCGCTGTGTTATCTCTCCAGCCTGCCAGGAGTGATCTCTGAGTACAGAGCCAAGAGTAAGCCCTGAGAACAATTAAATGTGACCCAAAAATCAGGAGGAAAGAAAATAGTAGTTGGGCTGGAGAGATAGCACAGATGGTAAGGTGCTTGCCTTGCCCTGGTTGACCAAGGTTCGATCCACAGGATCACATGTGGTACCTGAGCCATAAGGGCAAAAGGAGGGAGGGGGGGAGGGAGGCAAGGAGAGAGAGAGGGAGGGAAGGAAGGAAGGAAGGAAGGAAGGAAGGGAAGGAGAAAGGAAAAATTAGGGCCATAATGTAGCTCAGTAGTAAAACACTTGTCTTGCCTATATGAGACCTTGAGTTTAATTCCTAATGCTGCCAAAGATAGAAAAAAACACCTTTGAACATTTTTATATCCTCTCTGAAAGATTAATCTGATAATTCTTGCATCAGGTATCATTATTTTAAAACATTTACTAGGCACTTGTGATAAGCACTATAAAATATGTAATAGCTTCACAAAGTTCTGAGTCTTTGTGGAATCTAAGAATTATGGATGAGAAACAGCAAATCATTGAATGTAAATAAATATCAAGATAAAATGAAACAAAATCAAACCAAGTGACAGTGTGAAACTAAAATTCAGCAATTTCTCTGATAGAGGTAGTAGCCATTAAACACAGTGAGCAGTTTGAAGACTTACTATGAAAAAAAGGATAATATGGGGATTGATTGGTGGGGAGGGGCAGCCTCCTAAGTGGTATTCAGAGAGTCTGAGACCCCTTCTGAAATTTTCTTGGCCAACCAGTACAGCAGTTCAATGTGAGAGTGCCACGCTACTTTGGCCCTGCATGTGGTGTCCCCTCATGGTACTCAGGGGCCTCCAGGGCTGCACCCAATGATGCTCTGGAGACTTTATGATGCCAAAGATCAAACTGGGGTTGGCCACATATAAGGCATGCACCTTAATTCCCATACTATATACTATTCAGCCCTAGCACTGATTTTTTTTTTCTTTTTGGGTCACACCTAGCAATGCACAGGGGTTACTCCTGGCTCTGCACTCAGGAGTTACTCCTGGCGGTGCTCAGGGGACCATATGGGATGCTGGGAATCGAACCCGGGTCAGCCGTGTGCAAGGCAAACTCCCTGCCCGCTGTGCTATCTCTCCAGTCCCGCATTGATCATTTTCAATATTGCTTATATGTATAATTAATAGCAGTACTGTAGCACCTTCCTCCCATTGTTCATCAATTTGCTCGAGCGGGCACCAGTAATATCTCCATTGTGAGACTTGTCGTTACTGTTTTTGGCATATTGAATACGTCACGGGTAGCTTGCCAGGCTCTGCCATGAAGACGGGATACTCTCGGTAGCTTGCTGGGCTCTCCGAGAGGGGCGGAAGAATCGAACACGGGTCGGTCGCATGCAAGGCAAATGCCCTACCCGCTGTGCTATCGCTCCAGCCCACCACATGTATACACACACACAATTAAAAAGAAACCACAACCTGTTTTTATTGTCCATGTAAATATATATATATTTATATAAATATAAATATATATATATATTTGAGATATATATATCTCAAAATTGTGGAAGAAAAGTAAAATCCTGGATGTTGGATTTCTCAAATTATTTTTTCTTTAAAAAAATGTTTGTATTCTTTTCTTTCAAAGTGGATTCAAATGAGCGCAAAGACTTTGCGGTTTCCTGGGGTGCTGCTTATATTTGGGAGAGGAGGCTTCAGGGCTCGTATTCCCGCTGGAAAGGCAGAATGCTGCTCCATCCGAGAATTAACACCTGGGAGCCATACTTGCCATGAGAGGAATTTTTATTTATTTTATTTATTTATTTATTTATTTATTGTTGCTTTTTGGGTCACACCTGGCGATGCACAGGGGTTACTCCTGGCTCTGCACTCAGGAGTTACTCCTGGCGGTGCTCAGGGGACCATATGGGATGCTGGGAATC